AATAGAAAAAATATAAAGCTAGTGTTTGTTTGTTTGTTTTTGTTGTTGTTGTTTTTTATTTAAAAAAATAAATAAAAAAAGAAGATAAAGTAGAATTAAAATAGAATAGAAAGTGCTAGAGTTAGAGGGTCAAATAAAGGTGGAACAGATGCGTTTTTAGTCGTTTCTTGAAGATGGTTAAGGTTAATGTAGATATATATTTATATATTATATTTAGAGTTTTTAACTTAATATTTCAATAATTCATCAACACATTTGTATGTACATGGTTCTCTGATATCAGTTAATGCCATGCAGGAAAATAAAAAAAAAATATATAGAATCTTTTTTTTTAGAAAGTGTTTTACTTATTTATCTTTTTTTATTGTTTAATTCTGTAATACATTTTCATCAACCCTGTCCTATGGCTTTTTAAACAAAATAAATGTGAATAAGTTATGAAAGTTGTCATTTTTGGGTGAGCGAGAGTGAAACATTTTTGTCAGGCCAACCCAAAATATTTATTTGAATTCATTAATATTTATTTTAAGAGTTTTTAGCGTAATATTTCAAGTAATGGTTCTCTGATGGCGGTTAATGATATGAAGGGTAACAACTCAATTATTTAATCTTTTTTATTTTTCAGAAAATATTTTATTTATTTGTTTATAATTCATTTACATTTTTATCAATAATTAATCATTGACTTTTGATCAACCCTCTGCTATGGGTTTGAAACAGTTTTTGAATTAATATTTCAATAACAGCACTTTTGCATGTTCACGGTTAATGACGAGCTGGCAAAACAAATAAATGATTGAATCTTTTTTTAAGAAAGTGTTTAATTAATTAAATAATTATGTTAATTGATTTAGCATTTTTATGATTTAATTCATTATTTTTTTAGAAGGTGTTTAATTTTGATTTTATTTATTTAGTTTTTAAGTTATTTACTCTTTTTTTTTATTTTTTTTTTTATTTAAGCTATTATTTGTATTATTTATTATTTTTATGATTTAATTATATTTTCAACCCCTGTTTCGGCCCTGTCCTATTAAGCAACAACACGAGAGTAAATACATTTGGGCTGAACTATTGTTTTAAATTGACTAGTGAGAGTGTGAAAGGGAGTTTTTCTAAAAGTTCAATGAGCCCATAGTTGAAGAAACACTCATAAACGTACATACAGATTTCAAACTTTTGTTCTTTAAAATGAGTACTTTTTAATATAAATCTTCTATTGAGGGTCATGGAATGAATGGATGTGATTTGTGGAGTTTTTCAGGGGTATGACAGCAGACGTGGGTGGGGGAGTGAGGGGTAATTTTAACTATGAGCAAGAGCTTTAGACAGAGAGAGGCTGCGCAGTACGGGTGAGCGGTGGGGTCCGTTAGCAGGGCTTTTCTTTGCATTCGGGGATCTTGGCTCGAAGCCCAACTGGCGTTTTTGTAATCAAGGCATGATCCGGGACTCCATGCTCTTCTTCCCCGAGCCGCGTCGGCTGCCTGCCGTTTGGAAGGGTCCCAGATTTCCCTGCTGACATGAACAGAGCTGTGAGTGCCACTGTTTCTCATTCTTCCACTAGCTTTTTCTCACTCCAATCTTTTGTACACATCTTTGCTCCTCTCCGGATCCCGCTCGTTTCTTTTGCAGCAGTCTGGATGAGGATGGTAGCTGCAACTAAGCTTGCCGTCAGATGTGCGTTTGTCTTACGCTCCCCAGAAGAACGAGGCCTGGGTTTGGGCACGAGAGCGTCTGTCAGCTGACAGTTAGAGCCGTTGTTAGAGAGGCTGCGCAGTACGGGTGAGCGGTGGGGTCCGTTAGCAGGGCTTTTCTTTGCATTCGGGGATCTTGGCTCGAAGCCCAACTGGCGTTTTTGTAATCAAGGCATGATCCGGGACTCCATGCTCTTCTTCCCCGAGCCGCGTCGGCTGCCTGCCGTTTGGAAGGGTCCCAGATTTCCCTGCTGACATGAACAGAGCTGTGAGTGCCACTGTTTCTCATTCTTCCACTAGCTTTTTCTCACTCCAATCTTTTGTACACATCTTTGCTCCTCTCCGGATCCCGCTCATTTCTTTTGCAGCAGTCTGGATGAGGATGGTAGCTGCAACTAAGCTTGCCGTCAGATGTGCGTTTGTCTTACGCTCCCCAGAAGAACGAGGCCTGGGTTTGGGCACGAGAGCGTCTGTCAGCTGACAGTTAGAGCCGTTGTGTTGGGTTATTTGACATGTGATCCGTACGGATGAGTGGGAAGCGCAGGAAGCGGCTGCTGGAATGTTCCCTGTCATTTTGCAGCACTGATGATTCACGTTGACTCGTGTTGCGCTGGGTCTTCCTCTGTGTGTTTGTACCTCTGCGAGGTTTGTTTTGGTCCCCTGACAACCGAAGTGTCTGTGAGTTCTGTGCGCACTTCCCTTCAAAACGTAATCGCTTAAGATGCTTTTTAAAAAGGAATCGTTCAGCCAAGTTCATTTAATCCTGTGCGACTCTCCTTTTTGCGTTGAACACAAAAGGAGATATTTTGAAGAATGCTTAATGGAATTGTTCAGCCAAAAATAAACATTTGAATTATTAGACTGCATGTTTTTTTCTCCCAGACATCTTGGTCTGGTCCCACATAATATGTCAATATGTCTCAGTGTGCTTAGTGAAACAGGAATGCTGGGAATCCTAACAAAGTTAAGATGTTTGGTGTTGTCTGAAACAGGACTTATTCTGCTGATATTAACCAATCAGAATCCCTTAATAAATCACATTGCAATGAGTGTGAATCTGTTTCTGGGCTCATATATTAGAATGTTATGTTTTGATTGTTAAAGTACGTCTACGTAGTGCTTCAGACTTTTTAATTTAGAAAAAGCAAGAAAATTCCTATTTGCAGATATTTAGAGAGGCTGATAAAATGCTGATGCACATTTGAATGACAGCAAAAATATGAACACAAGTGCTGATTTTAAACAAACACTTACAGTATTATGCACTCAGAATTTGAAAACAGAACTTGCACAATTTGAAATGTTCATTACTTTTCTTATTGTTTTGCATGCTTGTAGCACATCATCCATCTGTTGTGTGCTGTCACTTTAAAAGCGTACAAACACTCAAGTGCATGGGTTTTTTTCAGTGGCTTTGCATGAGTGTTGAGTCATTGTATTTCACAAAGAATCTCTTCACATGAACGGCAGCTTTATCTTCCTCTTCTGCTTCAGACAGGTGAGGTCAAATGTCAGTCTGAGAGGTGGAGTTTAGCTTATTGTGAGTATTTATTAAATATTTCTTGTAATGCTCTGGTTTGGCCTTGACATACAGAGTTAGAGAGCTGGAATTGGAGTTCGACTCTCAGTAAAATGTGTGTTATTTGAGCTGTGCAGTGACTAAATGGTCCTTTTGGTAATGTAACTGAGCACTAGTAATAGAGATGCTTGTTTTAACAACCCAAAATATTATTTTGTCTTTTGTTAGAGGATGCCAGCCATGAGTCTGTGATCTGCGGTGGTTTGCTGGGATAAAAGCATCTTTCGATCTCGAGGAATCTCTGTTTGAGCTGAAATCTGACTCTATTCTCTCTCAAATCTCTGCAAGCCTCTGCAGATCCAAATTTACTCTGTGTGGGAGTCGCGCTGGCCTGGAGTCAGGCGGGTTATCGCACCGTAGCGCTGCTGCAGGCGCTCCAGCTTTCATTGTCTCAAATAATCCACAGATGCAGGGAGATCTTGACGTTCGGTCCGATGCCTGGTTTACTGACACAGTGAATAGGATGCTGTGCTAAACGTTTCTCTTCAGCTGCGCGGTGAATTATTCGTTCCCCCGGTGCGTCCAGCACGTGCCCTTTTGCCAATTCTGCAGCCATTTAAAGAAGCTGCAGCAGATCCGCGTGCTGTGATAGTGCTGCTGCTGCATCAGACACATTGCAACGTTCATGCAGGCTGAGCTGCACAAATAAAGCAACTCTTTCTAAGGCCTACGTTTGTGACTGTGCATTTAAACTGTTATGTAAACATGATTGTGATATTAGAAGTGTTTATTTGTATATTTAGGGCCTTAGTTTTTCACAAATTTAGTTTTTTTACCCCCTTTTCTTTTGTTTCCATTTTTTGTTGTTAAAATTTTTCTGAATTCGTTTTTTTTCTGGATTTAGTTTTTTTTTTATGTATGTATTTGCATTTTTCCACTCATTTTTCTGGATTCTCCTTTTCCCCCCTTTTTCTTTTGTTTCTATTTTTTTCTGGATTTCGTTTTTTTTGTTGTATGTATTTATTTATTGCATTTTTTTCCATCAATTTTTCTGGATTCTCCTTTTTTCCCCTTTTCTTTTGTTTCCATTTTTGTTGTTGTTTTAATTTTTCTGGATTCAGTATTTCTGGATTTAGGTTTTTGTATGTATGTATTTATTTATTGCATTTTTATTTTCATTAATTTTTCTGGATTCTCCTTTTTCCCTGATTTATTTTTTATGTATTACTTTTTTCCATTTAAATTTTTCTGGATTCACTATTTATTTATTTTTTTCTTTCTCGGTTTTATTTTTTCTGGATTCCATTTTCCCTGTTTTAATTTTTTTCTGGATTGCATTTTAACGTTTAAATTGATTTTTTATTTTTTTGGTAATCAAAAAACATTTCTAATTAATTTAAATAATGAAACTCATACAATTTAACAGCATTTTTTTTTAAGTTAAATTTTTTCCAGAATTCAGAATCCTATGAAATCTGTTTTATTTTATTTTTCTGTTTTCAGGCAGCAATAAATATTAGTATTGTGATTTTTACAGTTATATAAAATTATTATATTATGTTTCTTTATATTATAGTTAATGTATACGTATTATAATTTTCTTTATTATTATTTATTATTAATGATTTTTATTGTTATTATTTTTATTTTGCGATAGAATATTACAATAGTTATATTTTTTTAGTTTTTTTAGTGGTAATAATAATAATAATAATAAAAACAACAACAACAGCAGTACATAGTCAAAATCTTGAGTTTATTGAGTGTGTTTTGAGTGACAGCCTTTGAAATCATGGTCACATGTGAAAGTCAGACGTCTTGAAACAGCTGACGGCACGAGGAGTTTAATGCGCTGAGATCATGTTGCAGCTCGTAGCAGCTGATGTTAATAATGGCGTGTTCGTGTGCAGTTAGATGCACAAATGCATGTGGTGTTAAAGAAACTTTTCAATTGACTGGTGTGCAACTACTTATATGCTATTGTATTTCAGTTTCCGTCCTCGACTATTTCTTCTGGGCCTCTGGCATTTTATAGACATTTACATAACATAAATAAAGCTTTATTTTGTTAGATTTGGATTATGTAATTCTCTTATGTTTGCTCCAGACTGTTCAAATGTCACCTCCACAAGTGGGCAAGGAATATGTGCAAGACGCTGCTCTTTGTGTAGAAAAAGAGTTTCATTTTCGTGCGAGATGCAGTAAATAACAGAAACCCTGCTGGCAGACATAATCTATGCGATGTTGTACAGATTGTTCAGATTATTGTGTTTGTGTATGTGATGTTGACATGTTCGTAACCTGTTCAGAGTCCCACAGAAATGATGATGATGATGAAGAAGGAACACAAGGACGCAGAGCTGGATAAAAAGATCGAGGCCTTACGGAAGAAAAATGAAGCACTTATGAAACGCTACCAGGTGAAAACCTTGAACTTGCACATTTAAAATCTGTCAAAAAACACATTTAAGTTTGTAAACAAAACATTTAAAGTCACGGAACCTCATTTATGTATTTATTGTGAAAAATAAAATGTTAAAAGATCAAAGATTCCACAGAAAAAGCACTGTGTGTGTTTGCCTTGCTGAGTTTTGTGGTGTTCTGCAGGAAGTGGAGGAGGATAAAAAGCGGGCGGAGCAGGAAGGGATGGCACTCCACAGCAGGAAGGGAAAGACTGATGATCTGATCATCACCATCAACAAGTCCTCCAACGTGAGCTGCTTTATACCTGCACAGAGAAATACAAATGCCAGAGACATTTTAATGGTATATATATATATATATAGGAATCAAAAAGCATTTCTAATTAATATATAATGGAAGTCATACAGTTTAACAGCAATTTATTAAAAGTTTTTTTTTCAGTCCCTAGTAAATCAGTTTTTTTTCAAAATTCTATTTTTTTGCCATAAATATTAGTATTGTGATTTTAACAGTTGTTATATAAAATTATTATATTATATTTCTTTATATTTTAGTTAATTGAAAATTATATTTCTTTATTTTGTATTATTATATATTTTTTATTTTATTTTACAGTAATGCTCAAAATGCTAAATCTTTATTTTTAGTCCCTGGTCGGTGCTTAATAAAGCTAGTGATGTTTTTTATTTTTATACTTACAGTGTAGTACTTTCATTAAATGCCCCTACATTTACACTTCCAGAGAGACTGTTTACTTTAGCCGCATTCATTGTGAAACTTGCTAATTAGCGCATTATTAGGAAAGGTGATTTGCAAAGATTCATAAAAAACCCTTATACTCACTTCTTCTGTAGATGAGGCTAGATCACAAATGATTCGAGCGAACATAAACTAGTGATGGGAAGTTTGGATCATTTGACCGACTCGGACCTTTGAGTCTCGTTCAGCAAAATGAACGAATCTTTTTTCGAGTCATTTCGTTCATTTTAGCAAAATATAATTAAAATGTTATGGGTTACGTCCCTAATATGTCTACTACTTACGCAAACGTTGATCACACTACAAACAATACAAAACTGCTATAAGAAACAGAAAATATTAATTCATTGTTTACCTGGGTCTTCAGTCTATGATTAGCTCACCTCACCTCTTATCTGACAAGTCTTCGGGTTTGGGCTTATGGGGCTGTCACGTGATGAACGAACGACTCGAAAAACCCGAAGACTCGAGAGATGAACTAATCAATTCTCTTTCCGGCTCAGACTGCATAGGGTAAAGCTTATGGGGCTGTCACGTGATGAACGAGCGACTCGGAAAAACCCGAAGACTCGAACCAGGTGAACTACTTGACTAACTCCAGTACAGAACCTATAGGATGTTGCACATACGTGACTGAACGAATCACTCCCCGAGACAACTCGTTCTTCCCAAGTCACATTAAAGATTCATTCAAAATGAACGAATCGTTCAAGAACGATCCAACACTAACATAAACGCATTTAGGCTGATCGGGAGTGGCGCATTCACTTCAAAGCGAAAGTAACGTTAATCCTCTGCGTCTTCACAATGACAATTGCTATATTAAAAAGTTAAAGTGAAAAGTGACGTGACATGTGGCGAAGTATGGTGACCCATACTCGGAATTAGTGCTCTGCATTTACCCATCCAAAGTGCACACACACAGCAGTGAACACACACACACCGTGAACACACACCCGGAGCATTGGGCAGCCATTTATGCTGCGGCACCCGGGGAGCAGTTGGGGGTTCGGTGTCTAGCGCCGCACATATCCAGCTTCATATCAATGGGTTTTCATGGATGATTGAATTGTTTGGTAGCTTACGGAGTACAGAGATGTACTTGAGAGGTGAGGAGCTCCGGTTTGAATCCCGTGTAACTACGGTTCAACAAAACAGTTCAAATCTGCATATAAGGAAGTTAAAATGGCACGGTTGCATCAAAAAATGTGTTTTTATATCAGTTTTGCATTTGTTAACACTATCGGGTAGGTTTAGGGTTGGGTTTGGTGTAGGGCATATTTCCAACATGATAGAGCATTAACTTTTAGTGACAGTCCCCGGATATTTGAATTCTGAATCGCCGCAATACGTACCTGAAGAAACGTAATAAAAACACAGCAATACGTACCTATATCAACGTAATAAAAACGTACCAGGGTTGACGTATTGAACCCGTGTTTTAGCGCCACTCAGTGGACATTTCTCTTTGAAACTGCGGCGAAACGTGCAGTAAGGTACGTAAAAACGGTGTTGCAGAAATGTACGCAGAGGTACGTATTTGCCATGAGACTGGGTTGCTACAATCCCTGCTGGTACGAGACTCAAACCCACAACCTTTGGGTTACGAGTCCAACTCTCTAACCATTAGGCCACGACTTCCCCGTGGGCTTCCTCATAACACTATTCATTATTACATCCAACAATAAAGCACCTCAATCGCTTAATTGGAGACATCTTGTCTTCCCCTGCACCAGAGTCAACACAATGGCGGACTGATGACAGTCACTCAGGGCGGAGCTAAGGTAAGACACCAGTCCAGTCTGTGCTGAAACACTGCTGTCAATCAAACTATCGTGGGCGGGGCCTGTACAGAACTACGTCATTCTGACAGGAATCTCAGCACAGCCTGGTTTGAAAAAGGGGATTTTAAAATAGGGATTTAAAAAAAACACTGGATGGATTTTTATAATTATAGGATGGATGTGTACACACACTTCCAACATACATTTATGTTCAAAGTGAATTTTGCATCCGATGACCCCTTTAAAATCACCTTAAAATGCGAACGCGGGAATCGTTAAGCGGAATCGAAATGCACATGTCTTATCGAATACCCGATTATTGGAAATTTGGAACCGGTTCTCGATACCCAACCCTATAATTAGTACTGTTATTTTCCTGTTTATTGCTGCTTTGAAACAATTTATGTTGTATAAGGTCAACATTTATTTATTTATTGAAATAAATGTGATTTGACGTCTAAAACAGGGGACCACAAGACTTAAAACAATTTAGTATATATAATTTAATAAATAATTAAATTATTTTAATTCACCCCCTCGGGAACTGGTTTTATTTATTTATTTATTTATTTATTTATTTATGTAAGAACCAAGATTCCCACCATCTTCAAAAACCTGCATATATTTAAAAAAAATATTTTTAGACTTATGAGATTTATTAATTTACATGACTTTTCCATCTCAATGGCAATTTTTATAAAGCATGTACTTTTTTCTATTTATGCCAAGCTCTGAAGCATTGTATCGTGTAGAAATTGTAATAATAGTTAATAGTTTAAAAAATCCTTATCTTTAATCCTCATCCAATAAATCGCAAACGAATAGAAAATTCATGGGGCTTTTAAATGTTTTTGTGGACCGGTATTATAGTTAACTAAAACTAGAACCATAAAAAAAGTCCCTAACCTGAAATAAAATAAAATATTTAAAAAAAAAAATGTTTCAGCTAGCAACATTACTCATTTTAATTTAGTTTAACTTTTTGTACTAAAATTAAAATGGTAACACCTGTAAAAAAAACTAGATCTAAAATTTAAATTAAAGCAGAAAATATAAAAAGAAACCTAATTTAAAATAATGATAAAAACTGTAATAGTATATTATCTATATATATATTATATCTTTATTTGACCCTCTAACTCTAGCACTCTATTCTAATTCTATTCTTTAAAAAAAGCTTGTCCATTTTAGACTTGCACTCTATTCATTTGCTGCTTGTTTTCTTTATAAAAAATTTTTTTTGCATTATATCTGTTTTCTTTTCATTTATTATACAATTAACAAAAGCAAAAAAAGGCCTCTAACACTAGCTTGCTCTATTCTTTTTAGTGTGCTGCATTTAGTTAACTGAGACGTGTTATAGCTCTTTTGTTGATTTTGATTGCTTCCGTCGTCCTCATTTGTAAGTCGTTTTAGATAAAAGCATCTGCTAAATGACTAAATGTAATGTAAATGTATATTAACGATACTAAATGGGGGACCTTTGAGTCAAAAAGGTTGAGAGCCACTGAAGTAGTGCTGTCCTGAATTAGTTGAGCTGCAGGAACCTGAAGTAAAGTAAATGTAGAGAAAATCAATGATAGTTGAGCATATGAATAATAGAAGGGAGTTTTGATGTGATGTGTTTGTTGTGTTCAGGATCAGCGTGTGGTGACCAAGCGCTCGGGGCCCGGAGGACTGAGAGACGGAGAGCAGGAGAAGGATCAGGGATCGGGCGTCTTCAGCATCGGGAGAGGAAAGAGACTGCAGCTGCTCGTCACAACGTCAGCAAACATCAAGGTGAGACTGAATCAACCTTCCTCTTGTTCTCTGACTGCATTTTGTCCTGTGAGCTCTTTAAAGTCGACTGAGCAAAAGCCGTCAGGCACTAGATGTTAGACTCCTTTCAAATCTTCTGTAGAATCTTAGATGTGGGGTTTTTATTTAATAAACTGCTCGTTTTGGGAAAGTCCCATTTTCTCTCTTTGATGACTTTGATTACCTTTATAATGATGCCATGCAATCTGTTCATACTTCGAACTAGGGCTGAGCAATTAATCTAAATCAAACCTAAATAGTGACATTCTTCCCAAACATGAGAAGCACTTGTAAACTAGCTGTTGTCAACAAAAGAGACGCTTTAAAGGCTTAATGATTTAAACATCAAAAAAAAAAAATTTATTATTACAGCCTTACATATTAGTATTGTTATTTTACAGTTGTACTGTAAAATACAATTATTTTAAATAGTATTTTTACAGTGAAATCAGCATTATTTTAGTATCAGCATAATTTATTTTATTTTTTTCTGCTTTTGTTTTCATTTAATTTGTAACAATTTTGTTGTGTTTTTGTCATTTTTATGAATTTATTTATTTTAATCTGTCTGTAAAGTTTTTCTTAATTTTATTTCATTTTTAGTTTTATTTATTTAGAAAAATTTAATTTGGTCTGAAATTAAATATTTAAATATTTGTATATTTTATTTTATTTCTGTTAAAGTTCATTTTAATTCGATTTTTTTTCTATAAAAAATCCTTACTTAAAACAAAATCAAATATTAAATGTAACTAAAATAAGATATAAAAAAACGTATTTTTATGCCAAAACAACATTTCCCATTTTAGTTTAGTTTAACTTGATCTACAAAATAAAAAAAAGAAAAGAAAGATACTGCAAAAAAAAAAACTATATAGACTTAATATATAATATGAACAATTACTATAGTAATTCTTTCTTATTTTGTTTAAAATTAAGTAATAATAATAATCATTAAATTAATAACCGTTATTATTATAGGTATTATAGAAATACAATCACACAATTTTTGTCCAAATTTGTGCACCCTTACAAGCAAGCACAGAAAACAAATCACATTTTAAGTCGCAATTGTAATTTCATAAGAAAAGTCACTGTTTTTAAACCACATCATGTAGCCCAACTTTGAATGTTGTCGTCAGCAACTTAGTGTCAGACACAGCTCAAGTTAAAGCATGCATTTCAGTGCTGTTAGAGAGTGCTTTATCATGTTGTTTGAGGGGAAGAGGGTGTTCGGTGAAAGAAAGGACAGAAACCAGCCCGTGAGTCCAGCGAGGTTGAAGTCCTGTGCTGAAGAAGAGCTGGAGTCCAGCAACACACGAGGAAAACAGCGACCTCAGTCTGCAAAGAGAGTCACGGAGGTGAGCAGACGTGCTTGTGATGTCCTGTCTGACGTGTGTTTAGCAGCATGTGTCTGGGACGCCCTCTTCATTTTGTTCTCAAGCCTTGCTGCTGTAAATAGATTGAGACGGAGCTGATCATAAGAGCCGGGCTCTTGGCAGGTGTTTGTGTGTCTATTCTGCTGTTCTGGTGGATTCCACACATCACCAGCATTTACGCTGTTTCTCTTTTGTTTGTGTTTGTGTTTGTGTTTTACCTCTGCCTGCTTTACACTACCGTTCAAAAGTTTGGGGTTGACAAGATTTAAAAAAAAAAAAAAAAGAAAAGTCTCTTCTGCTCACCAAGTCTGCATTTATTCGATCAAAAATACAGTAAAAATTCTGAAATATTATTACAATTTCAAATAGCCATTTTCTATGTGAGTATATGTTCAAATGTAATTTATTTATATAATTTTCAGCATCATTACTCCAGGCTTCAGTGTCACGTGATTCTTCAGAAATCATTCTAATAATGCTAACTGAAACATTTCAGTTGTGCTGCCGAATATGTTTGTGGAAACAGTGATACATTTTGATCCAAATATGTGACGATTGAAATCGGTTGAGATTCTAAACAAATCACGATTCATTTAGGGGCAGGAGTTTATATGAATGCATGTCTGAGGGGAACTTACTGTCTTTAGAAAAGTTTAGATGGTATTTTTTCTTTCCCTCTTGCCTCTGTATAATGCACATTAAAGTTCATAAGCGCAGCGCTGCTTTGTTTACAGCGGAAACCAGGAAACGCTTTGAGCGCCACCTGCTGGCAGCGAGTGAATCTGCGTCTCGTTCAGCTCGTCTGCTGTTTCGGTTTTCTGCAGATATTTTTTATGCATAGTTTCACAAAACTGAAGTCAAACCATTCTGTTTTTGCTTCAAATTTCGAAATTATACAATCCAATTTGTAATGTAATGTAATTTGGTTGCCTCTAATTTTAAATGTTACAACAGAAGCGATCAAAACCAACAAAAGAGCAATAATATGCAAGTGCTATATTAGTATATTATTATAGTGTTATATTTCAATTTCACAAAGAAACGTGCAGCATTTTGTCCAAGCAATAATAAAAGGACACACATAATTTATAATTTGTCTTAAATCTCATTTTGTAAAAAAAAAAATCATGAGTTGAGTGAATCATTGCATCCCTAACTTCAACTTCAACTTTTATTTTATTTAAATTAGTTGCCAACAGCATTTCTGATTTTGTACTCATTTCATTTTTTGTTTTTGTTTTTGTTTTTTAAATTCTTTTTTTTTTATATATATATATATATATATATTTCTATATTATATTATATTATATTATATTTAGCTATTAATTTATATTTAATTTCAGTTTTAGTAATTTTAGTACTTCAGCTTTGAATTATTTTCAATTTCTATTTTTCATGTAACTACTTTAAGTTTAAGTTTTAAATATATTTATATTTTAGTTTCCTTGAATTTTTATTTCAATTTAAAAAAGTGATTTAAGTTTTAGTAATTGTATTATATATATATTTTTTATCTATATATATATTTCTGTTTAGCTTTAATTTATATTTTAGTACCTCAACTTAAACTTATTTTGTAATTTTCATGTAAATATTTTAAGTGTGTTTTTAAAGGGGTCATATGATGTTGCAAAAAAGAACATTATGTTGTGTATTTGGTGTAATGAAATGTGTTTATGCGGTTAAAGGTTAAAAAAACACATTATTTTCCACATACTGTACATTATTGTTTCTCCTCTATGCCCCGCCTTTCTGAAACGAGTCGATTTTTACAAAGCTCATCGGTCTGAAAAGCGAGGTGTGCTGTGATTGGCCAGCTATCCAGTGCATTGTGATTGGCCGAATACCTCAAGCGTGTGACGGAAATGTTACACCCCTCAGCATACTGTGATGCTGTCTCCCAAAGACGAGACAAAACCAATAAAACCCATTACAAACGAGGCATTTGTTGCATTCAGTGGGGACATAATTACTGATTATAAATAATGACTTATACTGTGTTTTTACACGTTGC